ATTAGTATTTTGATGAATAATTATATTCTCTCCCAGGTTGAGTGTGTGTAATCTCACAGAGGGAAGCTGTAGAGCTCTGTCCCCAGTTCTCAGCTCAAACTCCTGCAGTCTGAGAGAACTGGATCTGAGTCATAACAAACTGCAGGATTCAGGAGTGAGGCTGCTCTCTGCTGGACTGGAAAATCCACACTGTACCCTGGAGATACTGTGGTAAGATCATCAGTTTTCACACACAAACACCTTCTAGTTAAATTGACATATATTTATTGTATACACACATAATATGCACTTTGTCACTGTTCATATGTGTGTATGCTTTGAATATAACAAATGAAATTACAAGATAATAGTCACACTATATGACCAAAAGTATGTGGACCTACATGAGCTTGTTGGACATCTCATTCCAGAACTATAGGCATTAGCATGGAGTTGCCATTCAGTACAACCCATTCTACTGCCAGTGTTTGTCTATGGAGATTGCATGGCTATGTGCTTAATGCTATGCACCTCTTAGCAATGGGTGTGGCAGAAACACCATTAGGAGGGGTGTCCACATACTTTTGGCCAAACATTGTACCTCAACCAGCATCTAAAAAGTATTACCTCAGCATCTAATTGCAACAACTAGTCAAATATGTGTAAAGCTTTTATCTGTAAGTCGTGTTATGCCACTCTATAAACTGGTATATTGATGTTGCAGAAAAAATCACTATGGATACGTCAGGTGGACATATAGATAGGCAAAAAGCGCCACAAGGTTTTCTTGATTTTTCTCCTTTTTTTTTTTTTTTAAATGATTAAGCCGTTTTGGACTCCAAGTATGAACCATTTTTGAGTGATTCAGAGAACACTGAGAGGGGAAATGTATAATACAATCACAGACTATCTGTAAATGTACAGCTAGAGAATTAAGAATAATGCAATAAAAAGCCACTGTACCGATGTTTTTCTCTCCCAGGCTGTGTGAATGTAATCTCACGAAGGAAAGCTGTGCGGTTCTGTCCTCAGTTCTCAGTTCCAACTCCTCCAGGTTGAAAGAACTGAGCCTAAGTGGCAATGAACTGCGTGATTCAGGAATGAAGCTGCTCTCTGTGGGACTGAAGAATCCACACTGTAAACTGGAGATACTCTGGTGAGACTTTCACCCTCTGGATAATTATGTTTCTCATTTGTTTTAGCTTATTTACCCACAGTAATGTTTCTAGTGCTGTTCAGCGTAATCTTACTTTTCTTTTCCGTGACTCGAGTAAAATCCACCATTTTCTACGGCAAATCCCAAATGGCTTCCTATTCACTTTGCTGAACACCCTACCTAGTGCCCACATGCGTAGACATGTAGAAAGACATTTGAGATTCAGCACCAGATCCACTGTTTTTGTGCTTGTGGTCTGTTTTTAATGTTATCTAGTAATGTTTGCACATGAATGTCTCTGTATTTTCACTAAACAGTGAATTATTTGCGCACTTGCGCACCATGTTAAATGAAACATGTTAAATGTTCTTCCTTGCCACATGAAAAGCACCTTCGGGAGTTGCGAGGTGTCCTGAATACTCCAGTTAATTACTACTGTCTTAATTATTGGCGCCCGAGCCCCTGCCCTGGCCAGCTCCACATATGACGTATTAGGGCTGTTATGCAGGCTCGGGAGGTACAACTAGATTGTAGAACCTCTTATGGACCTGAGTTCAGTCAGAAGTGGCTTGGCCTTGTGTGATGGCCTTCTTCCAACGTATCTTATAACTGTGCAAAACTACACTAATTTGTATTTTATCTGATAAGTTTGTGGAAGAGCATTGGGAATAATTCGAACTATAAGTCCAACACTAACTATACGGTTAGAAGAAACAGCAGCATGGGATTGTGTTTGTGTGATAAACATCCTCGCAGGGCAGCAAGATCCACAGACTGGGTTCCTCTCTCTTCCAAGGCTCAAACCAGGTTGTCACTTGGATCTTTCTTTTCGGATTAAGACGGCCAACTAAATTAGTGGACCTCTAGCTTCTGCTCGTTGGGATAGATGCAGCAAAAACAGAATAAGTGAGGTAGTTTCAGATGGCGTTGTGTGTGTGTGTGATGAGATGCCATTGTTCTGATTTAGCATTACATCTCTCTCAGGCTGCGTGCATGTAATCTTGGAGAGGAAAGCTGTGCAGAGCTGGCCACAGTTCTCAGTTCAAACTGCTCCCGTCTGAGAGAACTGTATCTGAGGGGCAATAACCTGCAAGATTCAGGAGTGAAGCTGCTGTCTGTGGGACTGCAGAATCCACACTGTAAACTGGAGAAACTGGGGTGAGATCTCTCTCTCTCTCTCTCTCTCACACACACACACACACACACATATACACACAGACTCACCAGAAATGGGTATGTGAATGTGTGTGGAAATAAAGGCAGTGTTGTAACTACAGTATGTCTTCTATGTGGTGTTCTGATGTTCTGAGTGATTTGTGAGCGTGGGAGTGAGCGATACAGTAATAATGTGTCTCTCTGCAGGTTGGTAGGGTGCAATATCACAAATGAAGGCATTGTAGCTCTGGTTTCAGCTTTGAGGTCAAACACCTCATCGCAGCTGAAAGAGCTGGGTCTGTACGGCAATAAACCAGAAGACTCAGGATTGAACCTGCTGAAAGATCTACTGCGGGACCAAAACGCTAAACTGGAGACTTTAGAGTGAGTTACTGAATTACTGTCACTTTATAGACATTTGTAACACAGAGATATTCTATTTTAGTGCAGGAGTAAATCCTCTATCCCTTCGATCAACACCATCAAAGATAACACCATAGGAATACTGCTGAGCAGATATTCTTTGGGTTTATGCATTGGATTATGCCACTGATGTAGGAGTAGGTTCAGTCGGTGTTCCAGTTCATCGCAAAGGTGTTCAGTGGGGTTGAGGTCAGGGCTCTGTGCAGGACACTCGAGTTCTTCCACTCCAACCTTCACACACCATGTCTTCATGGAGCTCGCTTTGTGCACAGGGGCATCGTCATGCTGGAACAGGTTTGGACCTCTTAGCTCCAGTGAAGGGAAATTGTAATCCCTGTGGGCTCATTTACTATTAGTATACTATAGTATACTATTGTTTCTAATAAAAAGAGATCATTCTTCAAAATTCCTAGATGGGAAAGGCAAGTTGGAGATTGAATGGCTTTTGGACAAATCAGAGGAGCCAAGGTGTGGTTTCTTAAACGCATCTCAACACAAACATGGAAACTATAGTGATCTCTAATCACTGAAAGTAATTTCAAAAGTATCTTAGATGGAATTAAGTCTAGTAGCGGCTGTTCTGAGAAGGCATCAAGATAGAGTTTGTTTTAGCCAATATGACAAAACAAACCATTCTTGGATTATGATTGTTCTTGAATGTTTATTATTAGAGGAGGAAATCTCTGGTCTGCTGATTTCTACAGATTTTGCTAGTGAGGAGTATAAAGGCTGACTGTGATCAATAATCTCTCTCTTTTTTTCTTTTTTTCTTTTTTTACAGCATCCTGACATAACCATTTGATGTGGAATGAACCTCATGCACAGTGTTATGAAGAAGTCTTCAACTGCAAAGCCAGTTTATGTGAATATGCCAAAATGTGTGATTAGGCACTTATTAGTCAAGTCTGTAAATAAAGGTATAGTACAGGATTGTCTGCTCTTGTGCCATTAACAACCACACAATTTTACCTTTTATAATTATTCTTTCTAGTGAAAGAGATGATGCTTAGCAGTTCATTGTTCTCTGATGTAAACACTGCTAAGCTAATTATGTAAACCTACATACACTGTAAGTAAACTTGTGCTCTAACATGGCTGAAATGGTTAATCAACTTTTTTTTTAAATAATAAAAAAACAGCATTTTAATGTACTGTAAGTACTGAGTACTGTAAGTTTTGTTGACACTTTGTACAATTTTATCTGGCTTTAACACAATGTACTTTCTTGTATAAACAAACCGGCATGTTTATTAATGTGTAATACAAAATAAATTTAAGGCATATAGATTAAAACATATGAATAGAAACATTTTGTGAAAGCAGGCTGTAAAATAGCTGTACTAAATAATATCTTTCCATCTAACTTCATTTGTTGTAATTTAACCCCTTAACCTCCTGGGTTGTTATTGAGTTGTTAAGATTAAATCATATAATGGAGTAAGGACTATAAATTTTTCAGAAAGTTCCATTAAACAATTCGAAAAGGCATGCAGTTATGAAAGTGAGGAATGTAAGACTTGCCAAAAAGTCCGGGGAGTTTAATGGGTTAAACAAATGAGTGCAATATTTAATTTTGAAACTATTTAATATTTAAATAAGAATGTATATCGGTATGAATAAAATTGGGTTGAAACTATATTTGTGCATATGTTTGTGGTATTTGTATACATGTGTTAAGGGTGTTATGCAATACTATCATACTAATAGTACTCCTTTACTATACTGTGCTTATGGTATCTATGAATTATAGAATATTTCACACTGTGGCTGGTCCAAACTGCACTGCAATCATCTCTCACTTACTCCAGTTGACTAACATTTTTGTCAACGTTCTGCACAGATTAAAGTTTTTCTGCACAGGAGCATCATCAGAAGTGTGCGACTGTGTACACGTGAAGCTTAGAGGGAACAGTGGCTGTAGGCAGCATTTTTCTGTAGATGTGAGCTGCTAAACGGACCTGCCAGGTGAAACTGAGCCAAAGGACAGAGCTGTAGTGCTGCAGGAATGTGATATGTTCTGGATATCCCTGACAAACAAAAAGAGAAAATAAATGATGGATGTGTGGGATTATTTCCAGTATTTCCATGATTACTTGTTAATGGATGTATTATTCAGTTTAAGATCAATTCAAATTAATGTGTTTTCTGTAACAGTCTTTTCCTTGGATCATGATGTACTGTACTTGTTCGTGTTTTTCTCCTATCATAGCCTTGGGCATTTATCGATATGTCCTCTTGCACGCACACATCATTATGAACTTAAACAACTTTTTTTTAAACTGTTTTCGCTAATCGTGGCCGAGTGGTTAAATGATGGACTTGAAATCCACTTGGGTCTTCCTGTGCAGGTTTGAATCCTGCCAACTGCGTCCGAGCTTTAGCTTGTCAAACGGCAGCTTAAACCTGCTTTGTTATCATGCTTATGACAAACAACGGATTCAAAACTCAGGCATGTGTCCTTAACAGAGACTGGGTTAAAGCCCTGTTGCGAAACTCTGCAGGGGTTGCTTTTAACGCACTGCCCATAGGTATTTGAACTATGGACCAAGTGCATCGCTTGTGCCTGTGGCCAACATAAGACCTGGGCGTCATCCAACAATGCAAGCGCACTCAAAGCCAGTGTCAGGATGGCTGAGCAGTCTAAGGCGCTGCGTTCAGGTCGCAGTCTCCCCTGGAGGCGTGAGTTCGAATCCCACTTCTGACATTTGACAATCCGTCCTGTTGTATTGGTCCCATTCTGTTGTTGCATGTTGAGCTATTGAAAGAAATCCATTGAAGTCTGCCTGCATAGTTTAGTTTGCTTCCAAATTGGTTTGAGCTTCTGTTTGCCAGACGATGGGTGAAAAGTGGTCATTGCAGTCCATTCGAGGGTACACTTTACAGCAATGCCCATAGATGGTTGCTCAGCGAACCAACTACACTGCCTTGTTGTGCTGTTGACATAAAAACCTGAGCGTGAGAAACATAAGATAAGATAATCCTTTATTCGTCCCCCGATGGGGAAATTTGCATTGTTACAGCAGAAGATATATATATATATATATACATCCAGGGAAGGGGGATGGGGTTATGGTGGAAGTGACTGAGGGAGGTGGCTGTGAACTAGAAGTCCTGGAGAAGGCTAGGGGTAGGGGTGGGGCAGACTGCTGGGAGTACAGAGACGGTGGGGCACAGCTGAGATGGCTGCATTGGGGGAGGAGCATGTGACTGGTCAAACTTATTGAA